TCTGTCATACATTGTCATATGACAGTGGAAGCGCTTCAAATCACGCATGTGTGAACGGGGTCTCAAAGTACCAATGTAGTACGGCATATAGGTGTGAACAGACCCTATAGAAAATAATGGAATTCCTTTTGTCGTGCATTGTTGTGTGAAGGCTGAAGTGCTTCAAATCATGTGTACACGGATCACAGTTTCCTCCTAATATGCTGTAGAAAGTCAGCATGATACAGTGCAAGTGGAGGGCATAGACACAATATTGGACAACATAAAAGCTACTTCCCTGTCACTAGAAATAAAATCCTAATTTTAAAACAATTTATGTCCCATTACACCAGAGCTGTACTTCAAAAATGTGGTTGTTTTAATAGAAGCCCATATGTCCTGTACATCTGCCCCACATAGATGTCTGCCATGTTTTTCCTGCTTGCTCCCAGTCAGTAAAGTCTGCCCCAAATGCATACATTCCCCCAGCATGCAGTCAGCAAATGCAGCCGCTATGGTAGCAAGTATGGACTTTCTTCAGATGCAGTATAGAACACACGTGAAGATGTGCAGTATGCTTACACATATCTAGACCATAAACTGTCACTATAATTGTGGCATGTCTGTGATTGCAGAGCATGTGGGAGTATTGTTAGTAATAACAAAGACAAACACTGATTAACAGTGAATATCATTTTTGGTAGCACTTGTTGCCCTGTAATACAGAGCAGTCATGTTGGTTTTAGGTTTCCCAGTGTCCTGATTAACTCCCACAATACAAAAACATGCTGGTAACTACACAGGTCTAAATGTACCATGAAGTGTACCCTGGCTGTCTAGCCAGACACTGTTGGCTGGTCACTGGTAGAGTAAATTTAGTTAGAAATCCTCTGATAAGCTGACACCAACCTCTTCCTCTGTACCTCCACAACCACCTTCCTTTCTCCATTAACATGCTTGCAGATCTATAGGCCGCTCTGCAGAAGACTTGCCTAGAGGGAGGGCAGAATGTGCTGCAGCCCTCTTAAACTGGTCATACACCAGTAGACATGTGAAACGTCATTTTTGAAACATTCGTACAATTTTCTAATAGTTAATAGGGACAAATTGCTGATCGTTTGCAACTGTAAAAAAACGAGGCAAGATAGAATTTTATTCTTGAACAAGCAAAATTCTACCAGTGAATGTGGGTTTCATCCAAGAAACTTCATTGATTCAAAAATTGAATGTTAAAACCAGATTATGTTTCAAGCGACATTCGTCAAGCCTTTGATGGCATTAATAATGTTCTGATGAGATTTTGTCATCTGAACATTTTTATGAAAGTCTTCCAGTTTATAGACAGCTTTAGGTCTCTGGGTGGCTCTAGCCTTTGCCATATAGTGAGGATGACTCTGGTGGAACTAGACTGTAAGCATTGGGACAGTTACATAGAATGTTAGTGTTATATAAAATATGTGTCTTTTACAAATACCCTACATGGAACTGCTTTGGAAACTCTTTAATGTTAGGATGTTTATGAAGAGAGTAGAAGACACCAACAACTATCTAGTGTAGTGAAGAAACATCCCAGTGATAATCTCAAGATGGATCAACTAGAAGTGGTGTCAGCAGGGCTAGGAGGCGACCATAGACATTAGATAATTTTCTCCTGTTCCAGCTTTTTTTTCGCTAATTTGAGTGTTGATCCATTCCCTGTAGAGTCCAAAAGCCACAAACAAGTGTTGTAGGGGAACAAAACAATCTGGCAGGTTAGCCAATTTTGCCCAATCACTGACACTTGGACTCTCTGCATGTAACTCCCATTGCTTTCTCCATTGCCCAAAACAGGAGCAAGGCTGGCCAAAAAAACAAACTTTATTCTACATGCATCTGTACAAAGCACAATTTCTTTGGTTCCACAGTATTTGAGCCTATTACTCCGGAAGAGAGTCATCTGTGCACCGAATGTGGATTGCAAGGACGCATGATAGGGGTGAGCTGTGTACTTCATGTTTTCAGTCTGGCCAAAAAAACATCTGGAGATATTGTGTGCATGTCTGGCCATTCTCCTTTCTCTATATCTAGCTTTAGGTATAGCGAGAGGAGAATGGCCAGTGTGACTACATAATGTAGTGAGACAACCACAGATTCTGACATAAGTATACAGATGTGCACGAACAGATATCTCTAGCCCCACCATTTAGCCAGGGGAACTATAGAAACTGCAAGGGAACATCCATATTGAATGATCAATTATACCCAATGCAGCCCCCCC